CGTACGTACGTAAAATGCTAAACTATTTGATCATCGTTAAATCGTTAATAAAAATATAGGTGAATCTATTTGTCGCCGGCAATTACAAAAATCTTAAATTTTAAATCAAAATCACAAAATTATGCTTATAAATCAACTTCTGTCTTAAAAAATATTCATTGCGTAATTTTACTATATATCAGATATTATGACCTTTCAACCCAACTATAAATAAAATCCGGTTGCTGTCATCACCAATGACAAACAGATTATTTCAATAAATTAAAATATATTTTTGTTCGAATTATGGTATTTTACTATAGATCATCGTATATATTCGACTTTTATATGAGACTACGTATTTGATTTACATAGTACATTGGGGGAGCCCTAATTCCCCCACCAGTTGTCTTCAATTGGGTAAACTAGATCACGCCACCTTAGCGCAGCCGCGTTTTTCAAAAAAAAAAAATCAAAAAAAAAAATCAAAATAATTATTAAGCGAAAGTTTATGCACTTTCAAAATTATTTCTGCTACTGTAGTAAAAAAAAAAATCGAAATAATCTAAACATTAACGAAAATAAATGCTTCTGACACAACCAAGAAAATTTTATAAAGTCTTTTGCTTTATTCTCAAGAGAATAAAATTTTGCTAAGACCTATGTTTATAAGCTTGTAATTTTAAAAAATACCTAACTCTGTTTCAAAATTCTTTAATTATATTCTGGCTGCAATATTATTTTTGTTTAAAAACAATTGACACGAACATTTGAAATATTTTAAATTCGTTTTATTGATATTGTTATAATAACGCAAATAATAATGCTGAAAATAAATGTTATTGAAATATCTAATATGAAATATGAAAATGATGATTCAGAATTGCCAAATGATGCTGGTATTTCCCAAAATGAAGAAGCAACGGAGAAACTTTCTACCAACTGTCAAGAAGCTCAACAGAATACTACAGCAAAATTGGAAAACAACTCAATAAAATAATGAAGTAATTCGTGGCTATGTATTTTCTTCGAAAAACTTAGCCAAATTGCAGACATAATAATTGAAATTTTATTCAAAATACTTAATTGTGAAAACCTGACATTATATTAGAAAGAATTTTGTAGACCAATTTCAACCCATTAAAGATTTTTAGAGCTGTTAACGCTTGTATGGCTTCTTTAAATACAATATTGTTTTAAAATCATTATTACTGTAGCAACGTAATAATATTTAATGCAAAGCTTATCGATATTATTTACCACACTTGAGCCATGACCAAGTCATGCTCTAGCCATAACACCAATCGTGACTTCAATATTATGGTTTAATCTGGAGTTATGACTTTAAAAAGCGATTCAGTTGCAGCTGATGATTAGTCATAGCTTAAGTTGTAAAACTGGCTTCGGAATAAGCCGTTAACGGCTCTGAAAGACAGTTGACAGTAAATCCATATTTGGTTGGTTCAATTTTCAGTTACGAAGGATAATAACGATAATATAATAATAATAATAATTAATAAAGCACAATTTTTATAAATGATCATCATAAATCTGTTAAAGCAATAAGTTGAACGTTCGTTATGGTTAAACAAATCTCATATACTAAACATATAAATTGAAAAGTATCGCTTTACACTACTCAAGTTTGGACTATGCCGGCATTATTTAGGCCGGAGGTAGTTTTTTATTAAAACAGTCAAACGGAATTTAGTACATGATGGCAGATAAGCAAGTGACTGGCCGCGATTAGCCAGAACGGCAAAGACATCCCGAGAAGTATGCAACAATCATTGCGCTGGGAGTCGCCGTAGGATTGATCAGCCGGTGGTTTCCCGCCCGCCGGAGCAGGCCGGCTGTGAACAGGTGAAAATACCAAATATGCGGTAGAGAAGTATAAGAGTAGAGAAATGGTAGAATCCCGTCCAAAAGATTTCATTCTACCATTTCCTTACTATTATTATTATTATTATTGTTTTATCTTTTTATGCTCATTCGGATAGTTTACTTTATTCATTCATCCATATATATACATTGCACCCGTTTTGGATGCTTCGTTTAGTTTTTGTTTTGTTTTTTGTTTTTTTTTAATTTTGTTTTATGTAGTTTCGATATATGTATATTCCCGAGCGTTGCTTTGCCACTATTATTTTTGTTGTTATTATTTGAGCTGGTCTACCTACAACGTGTGATTGAGTTTGTTCCAAAGATGTAGATTTTTATTTTTTTTTTTTTGAGATCACACGTTGTATGCTTTCATCAATATATACACGATCATGGTGGGATGTGCACGTATGTATCTATAAAATGCCTCTGAATCCCACCGGCCAATCTTCTGAATCATTATAGGTTGCACCTCCCATATTACCAACTCTGTGGCGCCGCCTGCTCTGAAGCTGTGTCCTGATACATCAGTGTTGGGTAGAATTGATTGTAGTCTTTTACAGAACCATCGTTTTGTGGCCCATGAGCTGTTGCCTTTTACAAACAATAGCTCGCTGCCAGGTGCATAGGATGGGCATGTATATCGAACGATGTATGCTTTGAGTGATTTAATGGGGCATAAGTTGTCCTTGGTTGGGTTTATTATGAGTGTGGCTCTGATTGCGGCCTTGTGCTTTTTGGTTCTTGCGAGTTGAACTGTTGCAAATGTCTTGAAGTCGGTATGCTCAAACCTTAAAGCATGTAAGTGGGGAACTTTGCTTCCATCGAGTTTGCAGTCTGGTAAAAGCTCACCAAGCCGTGCGAGACCGTAAAATGCAGTCAGTGTCACTGACCAAAAGAGTAAATCGTCTGATTCTCTAAAATTCATGCTTTGCCTTATTTGATCCAGGTGGGTTCTTGTGATATGCCTTTTTTGCTTTACAGGCTTATGTCTGTGATTTGCATCAATTGTTTTTAATATTTCTCTTATTAACAGTTCATTTCGCATTGGTGCCCAATCATGCGAGTTTCTCGAGTGATGGAATTTTAGTGCTGACAGATAAAACAAGATCGTTGGTGGGAAAACCTCATTGCATATTGATTTAATAAATTTGATTAGTGATTCTCTAGATATGGGCTATATACTACCATCCTCGTTTCTCTAGTGTTGTTTATAAGCTAATGTTTGATATTGTTTGATAATTGATTTGTACGTTCTATGTTTCGGGGGTTCAACATTTAAAATCTTTGCTGCCTGCTGGTCTAGGGGTGTGTTGTTGTTGAAACCTCTAGTAACCTGGTGTTGCTCAAATCTGATGTTACTGGTCCTGTCATTTCCTTGTCCGTTCTGCTCTTGGCTTGTAAGATCTATTGTAGTAGTGAAGGAATAAAGGAAATTGTATTAGCATATTCCGGTGGAATATTAGGTTGAAGGTACTGTGCTGCAGGATGTTTGAACAGGTATTCTTTATGGCCGCTCTGTGATAGCAAATCTGCATCTCTGTTTAGTTTGCCTGATATGTACTCTAATTTTACTGAAAAATTCACCTGAATCTGAATTTCGTATATCTGAGCTATAATCTTATTTATTTGAGAGTTCCTGCAAAACCCGGCATAGTAAGCTTCCGCGTTAGCTAAATTATCCATCCATATTATTAGCTTTTTTTTGGCCCATAACAGTAGAAAGGTGCGAATTGCTATGAATGTCGTTAGTAGTTCACGTTCCTGGATATCATGTTCGGCTATAGCATCTTGATTTGCCCATTTGAATACAGTGAAATAGTTCTTGAACGTTGCCCTGCCACCTATATTTGATACATCTGTGTACAAGTTTTGTATGTTTGGAATTTGCCAGGTTTGGTCCATTAGGTAGGTGCTAGGCCATTTTTCTATGATATTGATTTACCACTGTATGTCTGTGTTTATGGGCTTGGTTATTCTTACATAGTGTTTCTGATTTTTTACTCCTTCCTATGCTTTGATAAACCTCTGTACGAATGGTCTTCCCTGGGGAAGCACCTGACATATCCATATCAGGGACCCAATGATCGATTGGAGGTCTCTTTTAAGACACCATGTTTTGGCGGCCCATTCTGCAAGTAATTCTTGTATCTTTTTCTCTTTTGGGGTGGAACTGACACAGACATAGTCTCTGTGTCTATCATAATTCCGAGGAATGTTATGCATATGTTAGGGCCTTCTAACTTCGATTCCTTGAAGGGCACCTTGATTATATCTAATATCCGTAAGAATTGTTGCAGTTCTTTTTCGCCACTAGTCTTTGATATTATTAAAAAATCATCGACATAGTGAATGATTGATCTGATTTCTTGCTAGGTGGCAATCCACGTGATTACGTCTGCGAATTTGCAGAAAATGCCCCCAGATGCTCTATTCCCGAAAGCCAATGCTTTATCGAAGTAAATGCTTTCGCCCAACTTCATCCCCTGCAGAACTTGATCCACCGGATATACAGGTAATATTCAATATGCATCTTTAATATCTATTTTGGATAACATGCACTCTTTTCCGTACAAATTAATCTACCTTATTGCATGACTCACGTTTTCGTATTTGGTTGCGAATTCACTGGGGTCAATGCTGTCATTAATGCTTGCACCGAATGGTGCTGATAAGTGAGATATCACTCGGAACACTTTGGGGTTTGTCCCCTTTTTTTCGACTAAACCACAAGGGTTCACTTGATAAAGATCACATAGAGATTCCTCTTCTGAAAATAGACCACATATGCGGCCTTTCTCTGCTTCTTCTTGAATGTATTTTAAAAATGCCGTTTGGTCCAATTCAATTGATTTTAAGTTTTCTTGAATTCTTTTTACCCTTGTGCCTGAAAAATTAAATCTGAAACCCTTTGTGATCTCTTGTATTAGATATTCTATAAAGAGGTGATTAGAGTAGTGGTTTGTAAGTGTTCTAAATGCTTGTACATCTATTGTTGTTCTCACATTGAATTTGTCAGGGCTAATCTGAGAGAGGATTTTTGATTCTTCTGCTGTAAAAGGAACATGTCGTGGAGGAATGCTGTGTAATGTCTCATTTACTGACTGGAGAACTGGTGGGTCACATGTCGTTAAGTTTCGTTATAGTCTGTACTGAGCCACGTGACAAAACTCCGGACTATACCTATTGTCTTGTAGGATATCGTCCCTTGCTTCTGGTGGTGAACATATTGTTATTGGTGTCGTGTGGTTGTTGTTTTCTTCTTCAGCTGCATGATTACTGTTCGGTTCTGATCCATCATTTATCAAGCCAACTTGCTCTAGTTTATTGAACCGCTCGTTCATAGTATTTTGAATTCGTTCGTTCCATTGCCTTTGGTTTTTGGCTTGTTGACTTATCAGTTCCTTTACCTTTTCTATTAGTGTAGATACTGTTGCTTGGCATGCACTGTCTATGTATTCTTTTATCTGTGGGTCCATACTTGACGACAAATTTTTGGGTTCATTAGACTTTTTTTTTTTTTTCGAGAAGAAGTCTGATCGATCAAATTTGACACTGGGGTAATCCAGTATTTGGTGCCGTGGTTTTATTAAGAGCTTCCTATTCTTCTTTCAGATTCTATTTTTGGGGCTTATATTACTCATATGTCATTATCATATGAAGCAGCATCTTCGCATATGATTCCTCCTTTCAATCAGCTTTTTGTTTTGGCATTGGGAGTAATCCTGCGGATCGTGGCGTGGGTGTACTGCCTCACTTTTCGATCACGTGATCCGTTATTACTCCGCATTATATATTTACTGACATCTAAACGAAAAATCTGCGTTGAATTTTAACCTAATGGGAGATTTAAAATTAATAACTTTGTATAACGATCTTGTTTTACCAACTGTATGGGATATTAAAGATAAATCACCGTTTATTGACATAGATTCAAATGGACTTAAAGTGAATTATACAGGTATATAATATGAAATGAAAGATTTCGCAGAACTTATTTAATGTGTTACTGTAATAATTTGCATCCAAAGTTATCATCATAGCTTTTTAATTTATTAAAAACCCTTTTAATTAAAGATCCTGATGAATTTAAAGCTGCTATCATTTGAGCAAATCATTCAATCCCTTCAGAGTGTGGAATATTTTACTTTGAAATTAAAATTATAAACAAAGGAAAAAATGGATAATATTAATAATTATTTTGTATCATAAACATCACTTCTGTTCTTGTGATTTTTTATAATCTTTTACTTCTATTTTCTTAATAGAATGATTGGAATCAGATATTGCACAAAACAAAGCGATGAAGAAATAACAGATGATTTAAATTATATAAATAGCATGCTCATGCCTGGTAATAACAAATTTTTATTTATTTTCTTATTATTACAAATTAACATCTATATCCTTTAGAACAAGAATATAACAAAAATATGGAAAATAAAAAAAGCGAGGAAAATGAATTATGGTGGTGTGGTTACCATGGTGATGATGGATATTCTTTTTGCTCAGGAAGTGGTGGGCCATATGATTTATCATACGGTGGAAATACTTCTGGATATATTACTGGTGATGTAGTTGGATGCTATCTAAATTTTAGAAATAAGATAGTGGTTTATACTAAAAATGGAATTAACTTGAGTAACCAATATTTTAGAAACTGAAGTTTATATTTTTTAAAGTAAATAAATAAAAATTCAATAATTATAAAATATTTTAAGAAATTGCATGCCATTTACCTAACGATTTGGAAGACAATTTATATCTTTGCATTGGATATAGATCGCAAGGCAGATCAGTAGAAGTGAACTTCGGCAATGAAATATTTAAATATTCTGGTAATTATTCAAAGGGTTTAATCGTTTTTTGGCTTGTTTAGAATTTAAACTTGTCTATATATATATTTCAACTGATAGCAATGACTAATGAAGACATTAGTAAAAAATTAAATAATGCATTAACGTTGGAATATCGAGAAAAGGTTTATTTTGTTATGGGTGGATATGAAAATATGCTTGTTAGTTTAACCGACGAATTAACAAAATCACTAGAAAAAGATCCAAGTAATGTACTTAAATTAAGCTACCGAGGAAAAATATATTTCATTATGGGCAAATATGATGAAGCACTGGAAGATTTAACTAAATTACTAGAAATTGATCCAGCTAATACAATAGCATTAAGATATCGAGGAGAGATTAATTATATAGGGGATGTCAGTAGAAACCAGGCAAATTGTTTTTAGTAAGTTTTTTTAAAACTTTAAATTAAAATATTCCAACAACTATTAAACCAAACTTAATAATTTTTTTTTATTTTAATTCTATAACTAAATAGCATTAAAATAAAAAAATTTTTATCAAGTTTGGTTTAATAGTTGTTGAGATATTTTAATTTAAAGTCTAAAAAAAATTTACTTAGAAACAATTTGTCTGGTTTTTACTGACACCCCCTCATATGATGAAAAAGTATTCTGAGTCAATTCCTGACTTGAAAAAATTGTTAGAAATTAAATCAAATGATATATGGGCAAAGAAAGCTTATAAATTAATTGGGATGTTGTAAGTACAATATACATTTGTAAATTTTAGTGGCTTAAAAAGTTTAGATAATTTGATCACAACTTATGTGACAATAGCCCGTGAGTATAGTAACTGCAGCAAATCACTATACAAATCACGATAAGTCCACTACAAAACTAACATAACCCTATCTAAATTACGTATGTCACCATAGTGAGTGAGTACAGTAACTGATTTTTTCACAGCAAATCACTCACGATAAGTCCATTACAAAATTAACATATTCCTATCTAAATTACGTCGCCGTAGCAAGTAAGTACAGTTACCGAACTTTTTACATCAAATCACTATACAAACCACGATAAGTCCATTACAAAACCAATATAAATTACTTACACAACCACAATAGCCTGTAAGTACAATAACCAAACTTTTTACAGCAAATCACTTTACAAATCACGATAAGTCCATTACAAAACTAACATAACCCTATCTAAATCAGGTATGTCATCATAGCGAGTAAGTACAGTAACCGAACTTTTACAGCAAATCACTATGTAAATCACGATAAGTCCATTACAAACTAGCATAACCCTATCTAAATATCTAAATCACTTGCGCAACCACTATAGTTGGTAAGTACAGTAACCAAAATTTTTACAGCAAATCACTATACAAATCACGATAACCCTATTTAAATCACTTATGCAATCACAAAAGTTTGTAAGTACAGTACTTGAACTTTCACAGAAAATCACTATACAAACTACAATAAGTCTATAACAAAACTAACATAATTCTTCTAAATCACTTACACTACCATAATAGTCTGTAAGTACAGTAACCACACTTTTTACAGCAAACTACTATACAAATCACTATAAGTCTATTACAAACCTAATATAACCCTATCTACAGGGGGGTATTATATTATTGTGGACACTTTTTAAAAATTTGTATAAAGCCAAACAAATAGTATATTAAGCTAAAAATAA